TTTTCCATGATGATCCAGGTATGGTCAAGGACAACGCCTATAATTTTCGGTGATGATCAGATAAAAATTTTGGGATGAAGTGGGCCGAAAACGAAATTTTTTGTGTTTTTTTTTTTCGAGTTGATCTATAGGCCACAATTGAACGCCGAACATCACAACCCAAAACACAGTGAAGGGAATGTGGAAAAGTAATTAGAAGGGCTGTACTGTAATATTTGTTGACCTCTAGTTGGTCAAAAGCTACAAATATCGCGAAATACTGCCCAAGCTCAGAATACAGAACCACATAAAGTTTTATTTTCGTGGAAGTTGTGTAGGGTATCATATGGTCGGCCCCGTCCGACTATACTGCTCCGTTCACTGGTTTAAAAGTATTTTTTAAGACATCAATATAGGCGTAAGTTTTTTCAATACCAAAAAAGGCGTGGATTTTTTAAAAATGTTTTTGAGGCACCACAAATAGGCGTGAATTTTTATACCCTTTACCATACCATGGTACAGGGTACTATGTCTTTGTGCATATGTTTGTAACAGGCAAAAGGAACCGAGATAGACCCATGGTTCCTTTTGAGAATATGCATAGAATCACTTTCTGAGTCGATTTATGCATGTCCGTCAGTCCGTCCGTCCGTCCGTCTGTAGATGTTAAATTGTAAACAAATACAGGTCGCATTTTTGATTCGAATGGGATGAAATTTGGCACAGGTCACTCTTTTGGCCCAAGAACAAACCCTATTGAAATTGGGAAAAATCGGTTCAGATTCAGATATAGCTCCCATATATATTTTCGTCCGATTTAAGGTAAATGGGGCACCAATGTCCCTATATATGTTTGGATTTGCACGAAATTTGGCATAGCGTATTGAATTAAGCCTAGAACAATGTGTGTTAAGTTTTGTGAAAATCGGTTCAGATTTATTTTTTCTTCCGATTTTAGGTAATTGGTGCACCTATATATTTTTCGATTTGCACGAAATTTGGCATAGCGTACTAAATTAAGTCTAGAAAGATGTGAGTTAAATTTCGTGACAATCGGTTTAGATTTAGATATAGCCCTCATGTATATTTTCGTCCGATTTAAGGTAAATGGTGCAGCAAAGACTTTATAAAACTTTCGATTTGCACGAAGTTTGGCATAGGGTACTGAATTAAGTCTAGAATGATGTGTGCTAAGTTTCGTGAAAATCTGTTTAGATTTAGATATAGCTCCCATATACATTTTCGTCCGATTTAAGATAAATGGGGCACCAAAGTTAATATATATCTTTCGATTTGCCCGAAATATGGCATAGTGTACTGAATTGAGTCTAGAATGATGTGTGCAAAGTTTCGTGAAAATCGGTTCAGATTTAGATATAGTATATACGGGAGCTATCCGTCCGATTTAAGGTAAATGTGGCACCAAATTTCCTATATATCTTTCGGTTTGCATGAAATTTGGGATAGCGTACTGAATTAAGTCTGGAAAGATGTGTGTTAAATTTCGTGAAAATCAGTTCAGATTCAGATATAGCTCCCTTATATATTTTCGTCCGATTTAAATTAAATGGTGCACCAAAGTCCCTATATATGCATGGATTTGCACACAATTTTGCATAGCGTACCTAATTATTTCTAGAACAATATGTGTTAAATTTCGTAAAAATCGGTTCAGATTTAGATATAGCTTCCATATATATTTCCTTCCAATTTAAGGTAAATGGTGTACCAAAGTCCCTAAATATCTTTAGATGTGCCCGAAATTTGGCACAGCGTACAGAATTAAGTCTAGAATGATGTGTGCAAAGTTTCGTAAAAAACGGTTCGGATTTAGATATAGCTCCCATATATATTTTCGTCCGATTTTATGTAAATAGGGCACCAAAGTTCCTATAGTCCTTCGATTTGCGCGAAATTTGTGTTATTTGTGTGTGTTAAGTTTCCGGAAAATCGGATCAGATTTAGATATAGCTCCCGTATATACTTTCCTCCGATTTTATGTAAATGGCGCAGCAAGGTCCCTATATATACTTGGACTTGCATGAAATGTGGCATAGCGTACTAAATTGAGTCTAGAATGCTGTGTATTACGTTTCGGGAAAATTTGTAAGGATAGATATGAACAATATACCCATAGTGGTAAAGGGTATCATATAGTCGGTTCAGTCCGACTTTACTACTTTCCTTACTGGTTTAAAATTAATTTTGCAATACCGCAATCAAGGCATGGATTTTTTTAAATTAATTGTTCAATATCTCAGTAATTACACTTTTCCATCTCTGACCATTTCTTTGGCTTACTCTTCAATGAATTTCTTTCTTCTAGGTTTTTCTTGTCTTTACCAAAAGCCGTTTGGCCCACATTTGGCCAAAATTGGCCACCACCACGACATTGGCTTTGTTTCTCTTAGACTCTCTGTTGCTCTCTTGGGCTCTCCCTCTCTTTTGAACAATGGCTTACCTTGGCTTACCATTTAGTAAGCCATAACGTGTACCATTTCTTTTTTTTTTTCTCTTGTGAAAGCCAAGTCAAGCCAAAACGGCGACTTTAGTTTCGTTAAGACCGGCTTTAAGTCAAGTTCATGGTAGCGGGGAAAAAGTGATTCGCCCGAAAGAAAGTCATATCGAATTAAGCGGTTAAATTGTGTTTTTCTATTATTGGTGTTGTTGTTGCATTTCTTTGAAAGTCCATAGTGGAACAGCAAAAAAAGTAAAAGGTTGTGATTTGTTTATTTATTGGAAATAAAAACAAAAAAATACTGAAATCGAATGAAAAAAAAATTAAATATTCCACTAACGTAACAGTCGTTCAACAACAAAAATAGTGGTCTTTTGTGACAAAAAACAACAAAAACAATAATAGCTGTAAAAAATCGAAAAAAACAGAGACCATAAAAAACAATATAAAGTGAAATTGTTTGTGGTGACAATAAAGGCCATTGAGTCTACAAGGGGTCTGAGTTTTTTCTCAGAAGAAAAAAAAATCCCATAACCCGGCATCTTGGGGAAAAAGTAATTTTAAAAAATCGATGCCTTGGCTGGGGTATTGAAAAATTAATTTTAAAAGATCGATGCCTTGGCTGGGGTATTGAAAAATTAATTTTAAAAAATCCACGCCATGGCTTGGACCCCAAAAATTAATTTTAAACCCGTAAGGAAAATAGTAAAGTCGGACTGGGCCGACTATGTGATACTCTTCACCACTCTGGGTATATTCTACATATGTATCCTAGTAGACGTCGCCTCTACGTACGTCAATCGGCCTAGCTATGGGTCTTTAACACACAATTTATAAATATATATAGGAGCTATAACTAAATCTGAACCGATTATATTTCGTGCAAATTGAAAGATATATCTTTGGTGCACAATTTTTCTAAAATCGGTCGAAAATATATATGGGAGCTATATCGAAATCTGAACCGATTTTCACGAAACTTAGCACTCATCATTCTATACTTAATTCAGTAAGCTTGGCCAACTTTCGTGCGAATCGACGGATATATAGGGACTTTGGTGCACCATTGACCTTTAATCGGACCAAAATATATATGGTAGCTATATCTAAATCTAGACCGATTTTCACGAAACTTAGCACACATAATTCTAGGCTCAATTCAGTACGCTGTGCAAAGTTTCGTGCACATCGAAGGATATATAGGAGGTTTGGTGCACTATTTCCCTAAAATCTGTCGAAAATATATATGGGAGCTATATCGAAATCTGAGCCGATTTTCCCGAAACCCAGCACTCAACATTCTAGACTCAATTCAGTAAGACATGTCAAATTTCGTGCAAATCGAAGGACATACAGAAACTTTGGTGCCCTATTTTCCTAAAGTCTGACGAAAACGTATATGGGAGCTATATTTAAATCTGAACCGATTTTCAGGAAACTTACCACACATCACTCCAGACTTAATTTAGTACGCTATGCCTAATTTCGTGCAAAGCGAAAGATATATAGGTACTTTGGTGCACCATTTACATAAAATCGGACAAAACTATATATGGAAGCTATATCTAAATCTGAACCGATTTTCTCGAAACTTGACACACATCATTCTAGAGTTAATTCAGTGCGCTGTGTCGAATTTCGTGCTAATCGAAATATATATATATATATGGTGTTTGGTGCACCATTTCCGTAAAATCGGACGAAAATATATATAGGAGCTATATCTAAATCTAAACCGATTTTCCCGAAAGTCACCACTCATCATTCTAGTCTCAATTCAGTACTCTATGCCAAATTTCGTGCAAATCGAAAGATATATAGGGACTTTGGTGCACTATTTACCTAAAATCCTACGAAAATATATATGGGAGCTATATCGAAATCTGAACCGATTTTCACGAAATTTAACACACATCGTTCTAGGCTTAATTTAGTGCGCTATGCCAAATTTCGTGCAAATCGAAAGATATTTAGGGACTTTGGTGCAGCATTTACCTTAAATCGGACATAAATATATATGGGAGCTACATCGAAATCTGAACCGATTTTCCCGAAACTCAGCACTCATCATTCTAGAATCAAATTAGTACGACATGCCAAATTGCCAATCGAAGCATATATATGGACTTTGGTGCACCGTTTACTGAAAATCGGACGAAACTATATATGGGAGCTATTTCTAAATCTAAACCGATTTTTCGCAATTTCAATAGCGTTCGTCGTTGGGCCAAGTGAATGAACTCTGCCAAATTTCATCTAATCTATAAATGCGACCTGTACTTTGTTTACAATTTAACATGGACAGACAAACTGACGGACTGACGGGATGCATACATCGACTCAGAAAGTGATTCTATGCATATTCTCAAAAGGAACCATGTGTCTATCTCGTTTCCTTTGGCCTGTTACAAACATATGCACAAAGACATAATACCCTGTATTACAGTGTGGTGAAGGGTATAAAAATCCAAGCCTATTGTTAAGCAAATATTTTTTTCTCCTCCCTTTAGCAATAAATGCAGTGAAAAATAACTTCCATTAACAAACCCCAGAGCCATAAAAAATGTCTCCCACAAATCTATTGTTAATCGGCATATTGGCAATTCTCTTGCCAATAGTCCATAATTATGACACCAAATATACCAAAGCAGCAGTTCCATTATGGAAACAAAGGGTAAGTCAGGAAAAGAAAAAAGTCCCTTAAAAATTATTATCGCATTAGGTTATCGCCCTTCTTCCCCATAATGACCTAACCTAACCTATGTCAACTTATTTTTTGTGTGTCTCTTTTCCTTCCTAGGCTTGTGAAAAGGCCCAAAAGCAAAAAGCCAATTCTCATTATATCTGTGATGATAAGGGCGATGTTAAATGCCTGCCAGGATGGCAGGGCGATTTATGTCAAGTGCCGATGTGTCGCAAAGGTTGTGATCCCATGAACGGTAAGTGCCAAATAACAATAGCCACAGGCACAACAGCAACAACAACAATGGAGAATGGATAACACATTTCCATAGCCACTAACTAACAGGTCCATAGTTCTTTCCTTCGATGGCATCTATGTATCCGATAAGGAGGCAACAAACCTTCAATGCAGTTCAGTGCATAGAGAAATACATAATTAAACGTTCGACAGAGCTGCAGGTTTGGAAAAAATTGCCAAGAAAGGAATTTGGAAGGCATTACTGGGACGACAGATAAAAGGGCAGAGCTGGAAAGGAATGAAATCGTAGCGAAAACTAATTAAAAAAATCCACGCATAAGGATAGTCTTTGAAGAATTCATTTTAAACCAGTAAGGAAAGTCGTAGATCTAGATCTCAACCGATTTTCACGAAACTTGGTAGACATCATTCCAGGCTCAATTCAGTACACTATGCCAAATTTCCTACAAATCGAAAGTTATATAGGGACACTAAATCGGACGAAAATATATATGGTAGCTATATCTAAATCTGGGCCGATTTCTTCGAAACTTAACACACATCATTCTGGACCTAAGTCATTACGCTGTGCCAAATTTCGAGCAAATCGAAAGATATATAGGAACTTTGGTGCACCATTTACCTTAAATCGGACGAAAATATATATGGGAGCTAAATCTAACTCCGAACCGATTTTCACGAAACTTAACACACATCATACTAGATTCGATTCATTACGCTATGCCAAATTTCTTGCAAATCGAATGATATATAAGGACTTTGGTGTACCATTTTCATAAAATCGGACAAAAATATATATGGGAGCTATATCTAAATCTGAACCGATTTTCATGAAACTTTACACACATCGTTCTGGACGAAAATATATATGGTAGCTATATCTAAATCTAGACCGATCATCACGAAACTTGGCAGACATCATTCATTCTATATAGAGGGACCTTGGTACACCATTTACATTAAATCGGACGAAATTATATATTGGAGCTATATCTAAATCTGGACCGATTTTCACGAAACTTGGCAGACACCATTCTGGACCCAATTCATTACGCTGTGCTAAATTTCGAGTCAATTGAAAGATATGTAGGAACTTTGGTGCCCCATTTACCTCAAATCGGACGAATGTATATATGGGAGCTATATCTAAATCTGAACCGATTTTCACGAAACTTAACACACATCATTCTGGACCTACTTCAGTACCCTATGCCAAATTTCGTGCATATCGAAAGAAATATAGGGATTTTTGAACTCCATTTACGTTAAATCGGACGAAACTATATATGGTAGCTATATGTTAATCTGGACCGATTATCACGAAACTTGGCACACATCACTCTAGGCTCAATTCAGTAAGTTATGCCAAATTTCGAGCAAATCGAAAGATATATAGGGACTTGGGTACACTATTTACATTAAATCGGACGAAAATATATATGGGAGCTATATCTAAATCTGAACCGATTTTCAGGAAACTTAGCGCACATCAATTTAGACGTAATTCAATAATTTGTGTAAAATTTCGCGCAAATCGAAAGATTTACATAAAATCGGACGAAAATATATATGGGAGCTATATCTAAATCTGAACCTACTTTCAGGAAACTTAACACACATCATTCTAGACCTAATTCAGTACCCTATTCCAAATTTCGTGCAAATCGAAAGATATATAGGGACATTGATGCCCCATTTACTTTTAATCGGACGAAAACCTATATGGGAGCTATATCTAAATCTTAATCGATTTTCACTAAACTTAACACACGTCATTCTAGCCTTAATTCAGTACGCTATGCCAAATTTCGAGCAAATCGAAAGATATATAGGGGCTTTGGTACACCATTTACATTAAATCGGACGAAAACATATATGGAAGCTATATCTAAATCGGAACCGATTTTCACGAAATTTGACACACATTGTTCTAGACATAATTCAGTACCCTGTGCCAAATTTCGTGCAAATCGAAAGATATATAGGGTCTTTGGCGCACCATTTACCTTAAATCGGACGAAAATATATATGGGAGCTATATCTAAATCTGAACCAATTTTCGGGAAACTTAACACACATCATTCTAGACTTAATACATTAATCTATGCTAAATTTCGTGCAAATCGAATGATATATAGGTACTTTGGTAAACCATTTACCTTAAATCGAACGAAAATATATATGGGAGCTATATCTAAATCTGAACCGATTTTCTTGAATCAGGGTTCGTCCTTGATCCAAATAAGTGATCTAAATATTATTTGTAAAAATTGTTGCCTACTTTTAGGTACATTTTTTTAAAACCCCAATTGATTTCATAGGGTTTCCTCTCTGACATTCTCCATGTTTCAAATTGATGCTTATCTGGAAAACAGCATACCTCAATCTTCAGTTTCTTCTTCTTGGTCTCATTTTCATTCTTGTTGTTGTTGTTCGTTTTTTTCATTCCCAGGCTATTGTCAACGTCCGGGCGAGTGCCGTTGCCGCATTGGCTACACTGGAGAATTATGCGATAAATGCATTCCATTGCCCGGCTGTCAGCACGGTGACTGCACCAAACCATTCGAATGCATTTGTCGTCCTGGCTGGGATGGACTCTTCTGTACTGAACGTAGGTATTTTTCGCACATCGAATCGACGACCATCAAATGGAATGTTAATTATTTTACACTTTGGTCATTCCAATTTCTCATTTTAGCCTCATGCCGTGAGGGTTGCCACAATACACGCGGCTATTGTGAAGCACCGAACGAATGTCGGTGTCGCATTGGCTGGGCCGGGCGTAATTGCAGTGATTGTGCCGTGTTGCCTGGCTGTCAGCATGGTACTTGCAACAAGCCGCTGGAGTGCAATTGTCTGCCGGGATATACGGGTCTGTTGTGTCAATTGCGTAAGTTTTTGTTGTTGTTATTGTTGGTCTTGTTGTCTGGACAGAAAATTTAACGAAAAATTAAAATTCTTTAAATAGCCATTTGTGCTGCGGACTGCCATAAACAACATGGTTATTGCAAGAAGCCAGGAGAGTGTCGGTAGGTTGGGAAATCGATTTTTCTCGGGGGTGGGAAATTTAAAATTAATTGAAAATTTTCGACATTTTTTAGTTGCAAAGTTGGCTGGACTGGTCCCAAATGTGATCAATGCTTCCCCTATCCGGGCTGTGTGAATGGTGATTGTGAAAAGCCCTGGGAATGCAACTGTAAGCCAGGTTGGGGTGGTATCCTGTGTGATGAGGGTAAGTACAATAAACATATTTTTTAAGAAAACCACGCCTTAAGGTATGCCACTAAAATAATTTTTAAGAAAACCACGCCTTAAGGTATGCCACTAAAATAATTTTTAAGAAAACCACGCCTTAAGGTATGCCACTAAAATAATTTTTAAGAAAACCACGCCTTAAGGTATGCCACTAAAATAATTTGTAAGAAATCCACGCGTTAAGGTATGCCACTAAAATAATTTGTAAGAAATCCACGCCTTAAGGTATGCCCTAAAAATAATTTGTATGAAATCCACGCCTTAAGGTATGCCCTAAAAATAATTTGTAATAAATCCACGCCTTAAGGTATGCCCTAAAAATAATTTGTAATAAATCCACGCCTTAAGGTATGCCCTAAAAATAATTTGTAATAAATCCACGCCTTAAGGTATGCCCTAAAAATAATTTGTAATAAATCCACGTCTTAAGGTATGCCCTAAAAATAATTTGTAATAAATCCACGCCTTAAGGTATGCCCTAAAAATAATTTGTAATAAATCCACGCCTTAAGGTATGCCCTAAAAATAATTTGTAATAAATCCACGCCTTAAGGTATGTCACTAAAATAATTTTTAAGAAATCCACGCCTTAAGGTATGCCACTAAATTAATTTTTAAGAAATCCACGCCTTAAGGTATGCCACTAAAATAATTTTTAAGAAATCCACGCCTTAAGGTATGCCACTAAAATAATTTTTAAGAAATCCACGCCTTAAGGTATGCCACTAAAATAATTTTTAAGAAATCCACGCCTTAAGGTATGCCACTAAAATAATTTTTAAGAAATCCACGCTTTAAGGTATGCCCTAAAAATAATTTGTAATAAATCCATGCCTTAAGGTATGCCTTAAAAATAATTTGTAATAAATCCACGCCTTAAGGTATGCCCTAAAAATAATTTGTAATAAATCCACGCCTTAAGGTATGCCCTATAAAAAATTTGTAATAAATGCACGCCTTAAAGTATGCCCTAAAAATAATTTTTAAAAAATCCAAGCCTTGGGATAGGCTTCAAAAATATTATATTATTTAAGTAGACACCTCAATAATTTGTATTTGTTTTGCTTTCAGCCCTCACCTATTGCAAAGAAAATCCGAATATCTGTGAAAATGGTGGCAAATGTATTTCCCTGACCAAGGAGGATGGCAGCTATCACTGCCAGTGTCGTCAGGGTTATTTGGGTAAAAATTGTGAAATTGTGGATGAATTTATGATAACCTCTACGACGGCGCCCAGAATTACCCCACCACCATTGCCAGGAGATGATGATGATATATCTGAAAATCTGATAAAACGCACCAATACAACTCAAAATCTGGCAGCAGCAACAACAGCCACTACCACTAAGGCACCCTTTACAAATCCGAATTCCAACAATGGAAGCCTAGTGAATGCCTCGGAGAAAATTGACAAATTCGCAACTAAAACAAAACCGATTTTGACAACAGTTCGTCCCATGACTCTAGGCTCCAGTACCACAACCACTGAAAGAAATCTCAAATTTCCCTATAAATTTGAAAATCTGAAAAATATTTCCGGCTCCGATATTATTGGTACAGCAACCACAAATGTGTTGGTTCCCAATAGGGATTTGACGAAGGATTCGTTAAAAGTGAATAAAAATATTAACAATAAAATACCAAGTTCGAGTACGATGTCCCCTCTAAGCCGACTGGAGGAGGAACAACATCAGCCGACATTTGTCAGCGGGAGCAGCAGCAACAAGGGGACAGCTGTGAAAGTCGGTGCCACACAGCCATCAAAAGTTGAAGAAGTGTCGCAGCAGGAGGAGGAAGAGGAGGATGAAGAATGCACGGAAGATGATAACGATGAAGACTGTGAATATGAAGATGATGAGGAAGAGGAGACGGATGATGAGGAGGAGGATGATAAATAATTTCAAAAAACAAATATATTTATTAATTTATTTAGTTAATATTTTATTTTTAATAATTTATATTTATTATAATTTATATGAATAATAGAAAAAAAAAATAAAAATAATTAATAAAAAAACAAAGGGCGGCATCTATTGGGGAAATTGAACCATCAGCACAGGAATAACTTCCTTTCCTCGTTTAATCAGAATTCCAACAAACCCCCTAATATTCCGAAATGTGTTGCATACTTCTAGGATGTGTATTAGTAATACACAAACAAATTCCAACAATTTTAAAAAAAATTATACCCATAACCAAACTTGACAAGCTCCTGATTTTTGTTGTGGCTGCTTCCGTGACTCTTTAACAATTTTATTTTCCAAGTTCCGATCTCAAAACTCCAATATAATATACGATAATGTTGTTGTGGTTGTTACTGGCACATTTGTGGTCCTTATACAATACATGGAAAAATGTATTAGGGTGGTAAGAACTTCATAAATAATTTTTAAAAAATCCACGCCTTGAGATATGCCTTAAAAATAATTTTTAAAAAATCAACGCCTTGAGATATGCCTTAAAAATAATTTTTAAAAAATCAACGCCTTGAGATATGCCTTAAAAATAATTTTTAAAAAATCCACGCCTTGAGATATGCCTTAAAAATAATTTTTAAAAAATCCACGCCTTGAGATATGCCTTAAAAATAATTTTTAAAAAATCCACGCCTTGAGATATGCCTTAAAAAAAATAAAAAAATTCACGCCTTGAGATATGCCTTAAAAAAAAATAAAAAATTCACGCCTTGAGATATGCCTTAAAAATAGTTTTTAAAAATCCACGCCTCTAGATATGCCTTAAAAATAATTTTTAAAAAATCCACGCCTTGAGATATGCCTTAAAAATAATTTTTAAAAAATCCACGCCTTGAGATATGCTTTAAAAATAATTTTTAAAAAATCCACGCCTTGAGATATGCCTTAAAAATAATTTGTAAAAAATCCACGCCTTGAGATATGCCTTAAATACAATTTGTAAAAAAATCCAGCCTTGAGATATGCCTTAAAAATAATTTGTAAAAAAATCCAGCCTTGAGATATGCCTTAAAAATAATCTGTAAAAAATCCACGCCTTGAGATATGCCTTAAAAATAATTTTTAAAAAATCCACGCCTTGAGATATGCCTGAAAAATAATTTTTAAAAAATCCACGCCTTGAGATATGCCTTAAAAATAATTTTTAAAAAAATCCACGCATTGAGATATGGCTTAAAAATAATTTTTAAAAAATCCACGCCTTGAGATATGCCTTAAAAATAATTTTTAAAAAATCCACGCCTTGAGATATGCCTTAAAAATAATTTTTAAAAAATCCACGCCTTGAGAGGCTTTGAAAAAATATCCTTTTTAAAAAATCCACGCCTTGAGAGGCCTTGAAAAAAGATTCTTTAAAAAATCCACGCCTTGAGAGGCCTTGAAAAAAGATTCTTTAAAAAATCCACGCCTTGAGAGGCCTTGAAAAAAGATTCTTTAAAAAATCCACGCCTTGAGATATGCCTTAAAAATAATTTTTAAAAAATCCACGCCTTGTGATATGCCTTAAAAATAATTTATAAAAAATCCACGCCTTGAGATATGCCTTAAAAATAATTTTTAAAAAATACACGCCTTGAGATATGCCATAGAAATAATTTTTAAAAAATCCACGCCTTGAGATATGCCTTAAAAATAAATTGTAAAAAATAATTTTAAAAAAAAGTTTAAGGAGCTACACCAAGGCGTGGAATTTATATACCCTTCACCACACTGTGGTACAGGGTATTATGTCTTTGTACATATGTTTGTAGTGCCGTTGCCCTACCCACAATAGAGGTGTATACCGCCAAACCCTTTAGCGAAACACGCCAAGAATTGAGGGAATGGGCACATGAGACCCACAAAACCCTTTGGGATAATGAGGGGACAGGAAAAATCACTAAAAGCTTATGGGGCGACCCAAGTGAAGACAAAACTAAGCAAATCCTAATGCTAAACAAAAAAGAAATAAGCCGACTGACGGGTATTCTGAAGGGACACCTCGGCCTGAAGGCGTATCTACTCACGATTGGATGCGAAGAAAGTAACGAGTGCAGAACGTGTGGGGAAGACAGTGAAACTCTGGAACATTTTCTGTGCCATTGCCCAGCATTTACATGCCTTCGGAGACAATTCTTGGGAAATGACACACTTCACAGACTAAGCGATCTGAGGGGGTGTGAATGGAAAAGATTGAAGCAGTTCGCAAAAAACACGGAATTCCTAGATTCATAGGGAATCAAACCCAAATGTTTCTCTTTATTAATATACACTTTCATTAATTCTTGATTTAAACGTTCTCCGCACTTCTAGAGCGCAGAACAGGCCTCATATGGCTTATGTGTATGTCCTTCTCATGTTGGACTTGTGGTGGTATCATCCACCCCTCTTTTCAACCTAACCTAACAGGCAAAAGGAAACAAGATAGTCACAGGGTTCCTTTTGAGAATATGCATAGAATCACTATCTGAGTCGATTTATGCATGTCCGTCAATCCGTCCGTCCGTCTGTCCGTCCGTCTGTAGATGTTAAATTGTAAACAAAGTACAGGTCGCATTTATGATCCGATTTGGATGAAATTTGGCATAACTCACTTATTTGGCCCAAGGACGAACCCTATTGAAATTCAAGAAAATCGGCTCAGATTTAGATATAGCTCCCATATATATTTTCGTCCGATTTATCGTAAAATGGCGCACCATAGTCCCTTTATATCTTTCGATTTGCACGAAATTTGGCATAGAGTACTGAGTTAGGTCCAGAATGATGTGCGCCAAGTTTCGAGAAAATCGGTTCAGGGTTAGATATAGCTCCCACATATATTTGCGCCCGATTTAAGATAAATGGTGCACCAAAGTACCTATATATCTTTCGATTTGCATGAAATTTGACATAGAGTATTGAATTAGGTCCAGAATGACGGGTGCTAAGTTTCGAGAAAATCGGTTTAGATTTAGATATAGCTCCCATATATATTTTCGTCCGATTTTAGGTAAATAGTGCACCAAATTCCCTTTATATCTTTCGATCTGCACAAAATTTGGCGTAGCGTACTGAAAAGGATCTAGAATGGTGTGTTTAATTTAGAAAATCTATTGATTTCATTCTCTTGGGCGTTTACACTTTTATTGTGTTTCAAAACGCATTGAATTCCATATTCGTTACAATCTTCATACTCCGTAATATTACAACATTGAAATGTCAAATGACAGATTCTAACGAGTATGGAATTAGCGCCGACGCCACCTTCCATTATTATTGTTGACTCTCAAACACTCTTTTTTCGTTGGCCTACCAATCAACAGGTAATCTGTCACAATCTCTATCCTTTTTCCACTCTTCTATTTTTTATCAATAAAGCAACTGCCTTTATTTTAATTTAAATCTAAAAACGTTCGTGTTTTTATTTCTTCTATTTTGCACGCAATTTCGGCGTCAACATTTTGGTCCATTCGAACCGGAGACGAGCTTTTGGAAACGATTTTCTAATTGGTTTATTGTTTGCATTTTCAGCAGCAAAAAACAACAACACAACATCATCACCATCCCTATACATCATCATCCCTAAACTCATCATAATTATCATCATTATCAACAAAAACAGGTAGGTCAGTGCAGTGGAACAATTTTTATCGGTTTTCAAATATTATTTCGGATATTTAGATTGTTTTAGCTAATTTGAGCTAATTCCCATTGGAAATTGTGGTAAGATCGTCGGTTTTTTTTTAAAACTTGTTGGACATTTTTTTGGAATTTTGTTCAAATATTGGAAAAATTGTTCAATTTTTTAATTTTTATTTCGATTTTGGTATTTTCCTTAAAGAAGTTGGTGTTTCTTTGGAATAATTTGGATCGATTGGTTAATAATCGAAATCAGATTGGCATTTTCTCAATTATTCGAGTCCTTTGTTGAGAAAATCATTAAATTTTTGTTATTTTCGTTCTCGATTGAGAAAATCATTACATTTGGAAATTTTTCGTAATCCTTTTTGATTGTTGAGCGGTTTTTGCATTTAAGACTCCAAGATGTTTACTCCTTTGGATAGTTTTATCAGAGTTTCTGACTCTTTTGTCAAATTTGTTGAATATATCCGGGCAATGAAACCCGAAGATATAAATATTTTTGCTCTGGAAGTCCGTAGCGCCGAACTAGGAAAAGTTTGGAAAGAAACAGAGGATAAGTATAGAACGTGTATTCTCTATTTGGAAACGTCTGAAGAGACGACTAAGGAAACTCTCGAGTCGGCGGATCGGAAATTTGAGGTAGTGTACCAAAAATATATGGATTGTTTATCGAACTTGAATTGTAAGCTGTCAGAATTGAAGGGCGAACAACAATTGTTGAACTCCTCTCGTAGTAGTTCAGTAGCTTCTCTAACGCAGCATCACTGTGATATTCCTAGGGAAGCGCAGCCATCAGATGTAGCGGTAGGAAAATCGAGGTCTTCTCCCCACACTCATCCGGAGGTGGTTAATTCAGCTACTAGCTCTCCAATATTGCGTATTGAAGATCCTAGTACTCCTCAGACCTTCACAATTCCCCCAAATTTAGACAGTGTACATAGTCTAACATTACCTCCATGTGATACCGATATTTTCGAAGGAGATTTTCAGTCATGGCCTACATTTAGAGACCTTTTCAGCACGGTTTATATAAATAATACGCGTTTGAGCGATATTGAGCGTCTTTGCCATTTAGTGCGCAAAACCAGTGGAGAAGCTCGGGAAATTGTGTCGAAATTTCCTTTAACGCACCGTAGTTTCGGTCCAGCGTGGAATGCGTTGAAAGACACGTATGATAATCCGCGTTTACTTGTCCACAATCAATTGAAAACCCTGTTTGCTCTGCCGGTACTTCAAATTGAATCCACTTCGGGTCTTAAAATTATCCAAAGAGGAATTAATGGTTGT